GTACATTTGTGTTTTAAAAACATTTTAAAGACTGCTGCTTTTCTATCTGTCCATAATATCCTGTGCATTTTTCTCATATACAATGCTTTTAACTGCCATCAGATATATATCAGCTTTTCTGCCTTTTTTTGTTCTTCTTGTTTTACATGCAAACAATATACAGATACTATATAGAACTTTAACACTCTTCTTCTAGCTCCAAAGTTTTATGTCACACACTGGTGAGATATGACTGAGCTACATATAACAGAAGTCAACACTCGGTACTACCTGTTCTTTGTTAACTTAGTCAGATATGTCTGAGCTACAATATAACAGAAGTCAACACTTGGTACAACCTGTTCTCTGTTAACTTAGTCAGATATGACTGATTTACCATGTAACATAAGTCAACACTCTGTACTACCTGTTCTCTGTTAACTTAGTCACATATGACTGATTTACCATGTAACATAAATCAACACTCGGTACTACCTGTTCTCTGTTAACTTAGTCAGATATGACTGAGCTACCATAAAACAGAAATCAACACTCGGTACTACCTGTTCTATGTTAACTTAATCAGATATGACTGAGCTACCATATAACAGAAGTCAACACTCGGTACTACCTGTTCTATGTTAACTTAATCAGATATGACTGAGCTACCATATAACATAAATCAACACTCGGTACTACCTGTTCTCTGTTAACTTAGTCAGATGACTGAGCTACATATAACAGTAGTTGGTCTTCTTTGTTTTTCTTTTTCACTTCCTCTTTTACCACTTCAGCTGTTGAGGGAGATATCAGGTTCTGCTTCTTGCTCTTCTGGCAGCCTCGACTATAGACAAATCATGCTGTTTTAGAGTTTCTCTAATGTTATCTTTCCATCTTGGTCTACATTGTGCTCTATGCCCCTTTCCTCTTTTGATGTATGCATTGTCTGGCATCACAACGCATTGTCTGGCATCACAAGGCATTGTCTGGCATCACAAGGCATTGTCTGGCATCACAAGGCATTGTCTGGCATCAAAAGGCATTGTCTGGCATCACAAGGCATTGTTTGGCATCACAAGGCATTGTCTCTAAGTGGACAGACCATTTGATTTGCTGTCTTTGTATGTAATTTAGAATTGGTTCTTTGTTGACTTTTTTCCATTATGACTGCATTCCTGATTTGATCTCTTGTGGTCACTCCTGCAGCCTTCCTTAGACATCTCATTTCCTTGGTTACTAATTTCTTTTCTCATTTGTTGTGATGTATCATGTCTGGCACTGTTAGCATATAGTGGGAATGAATATGCTTTGTATAAGGTTTTGCTTTGTGTTGATCAGGATTGTCTTATGCTGTAAGAGAGAGAGGGAGCTAGCTGTCCCAATACTCGGTTTGCTGTACTGCATGTGATGTTAACTTCTTCATCCAATTTCTCATCTTCAGTGAGTGTTGTTCCCAGATATGCAAACTCAGATGCCTGTTTGCTCTCATCATCATCATCATAACCACATATGATTGTTATTGTTTTACTTGTTATTTATAATAACCAAATTTGAAAAATGTATCCAGTATAGTTACCTTTCATGTACTTATCATTGTTGATGATAGAAAAAAAAACATCTTCTAAAAATTCATTCAGGGCCTGCCATAGTGTAGACTAGATGCTCCCCTGTGGATTGAAAGGTCATGGGTCCAGCTCCTAACGGAGCTGGAAGCTCTAAAAAATGACCTCGGCACCTAGGTCGACCCAGGCTTAAATGGGTACCAGGTAAAGACCTGGAAAGTAAAGGTGGCTGGCATAATGCTGACCACATCAACCACCAAATGCTTATTGGTCTGTAAAAAATGGGTCTAGCCCTATATGCCCCATTTTTGAAAAGGGTCCTTTATCTTTTAACAATTCATCCACAGCTGATGGTGCAACAGTTACTAAAGAAGATGGAGGATGTTCACAAGATGTGTGAGAAGCGAATGGAAAGCTTGAGGCAGATTGTCGATCCTAGATCCCAGGCAAATGCTTTACACGAGCAGATGTCTGTGAGAGAACTTAGGCCAACCCGAGAGGTCAGAGAGGAGGGGTCAAAGGCAAACAAAGATTTTACAGATGGGAGTCAGAGAAAGAAGTCAGAAGATGACAAGAAGCCAACAAATTTACTGGAGAAGAGTGTGCGGGTAGGTAGCATGATAGATATATATATATATATATATATATATATATATATATATATATATATATATATATATATATATATATATATATATATATATATATATATATATATATTATATATATATATATATATATATGTTATGGATTAGATTATCTTCACAGCACTCTGGACACATCCATAGGCGCTTAGATTTCCCTCTCAACATAATCATCAGCATCATGCAATTAATAGTGCCAGTCCTATGTTGGTTAACAAGACTTTGTGTACATCATGGGTGCTTCTCATGCTTGGCTGTGCCGATCTTTACTCCCAATTCTCGTATTCTTAGCAATGATGTGGACACGTTGTTTCCAAAATCCTCAGAACGTCCTATCTCTCTAAGGGCAATGACAATGTCTGCGTGATCCATGGGCCGGCCATCTTCACTTAATGCAGCACCTGCCAGTGTGTATGTGTGTGTGTATATAAATATATATTTGTATGTGTGTGTGTATTGGTGGGTGGTAATCTTAGTTTAGTAATCATAGTTTCAGCTTCAAAGCAAATATGGGTCACCCCATAGTAGCTCCGCTCCTGTGCCAACAAAAAAACAGATTATCCTTTACTGTCCCTTGTGAAAAAATGGACAAAGACTCATCATACTGCAGTATCAGCATATACACTAGCATACACTTGCATTAAATAGATAAGGCAGCCATTAGATATGCCGACACAAACAATCCAACATTAGAAATGTAGTTCATCATTGATGGAAACAGCAGTTACAAACATATCAGTAGTTGCACAAATGATTAATTTTAAGCACATAAGGCATCATCACTTCTGTGGCAACAGGCCACTTGCCATTTGTTGAATCTACAGTTCATAATAGTACATTTGGTCACATTCGAAAAACATTTAAGATGAAGTCCTCAGCTCACAGTTTCATGCTATGCACACAACTCGGTAGCAGGGCGACAAAACAGTATCCTTTCAGTCTACAAATGGAGGAAAATGCAATGGCCACCATCTGTTGGAAGCAAAAATTTGCCATGACTGAAAACATTGAATGGGCATAATCTCCATTTTGATCAAAGGTGGGCTAGGTGTGCTTATGTTTGTCAAGATGAACCAAACTTGTCTAATAAAAGAATTATTGTAAATTGTAACAGACAGTATGCGAACATCTAACCTCTCCCCTGCGGGTTAAATAAAAAGTAACAGTGAAGAATAAAAACTGTTTTGTTAGTGCCATTGGACATTAACAACAAAATGGAAAAAGAAAAATTGAAACAACAATATAAAATGTCAACAACAAATGCTAAATGTAACAAGAAGAGACGGGATCAGAAACAACAGTTTCAGAAACAGGTTGGGATAGAACCAGTGCTAAACTACATCAGGAGACAACAGATCAAATGGCTCAGGCATGTTTCAAGACTACCATAAGGTAGTGCACCACAATGAGCCCCATCACTTAGGCACAACAGATGCAGAGCTAGAGGTGGATAGATGGAATATTTCAGGCCATGATAACCAGCATCTGCATATTGTAAAAAGATATTAAATCAAACTAAAAGTAGAAAACCAGTCAGCTTGATATTATCACAAAACACAAATGCCAAGGGAACACTGCAACTAGAGAGCCTTTATCAACACATTACATGAATATACAATACCACAAATATGAACAAGAAAACACAAAATTACTTAACTGAAGTATCTCAGAGAGTAATCACATATCTGTCTGGCCAGTTGAGTCTCTGACACATATGTGACCACCAGAAATAAATGCTAGCCAGAGAAAGCTGTGAATGGCAAGGGATTTAACTGAATAAATTATTAGATAAAACTGTATTGGATATCAAGTCCCCTAGGTGAATCGGAGCCCATTAGATAGATAAAGTGAGTCTCAAAAGATTCACAGTCTCTGTTATTTGAGTGGCTAGACTTGATGAACATAGCCTTTATTGTGAGGACATTCTGATGACCCTGAGAATTGAAATGCACCTGTACTGATTTGAGGGCACTGTTCTGCACTGCAGAAAGATGTTGCTTTAACCTGTCAGGTAGTTGTAGCTGCCATTTCATAACACAGACTAAGGCTTGCACCAGATGCCTCTTCAAAACCTGATGCTGAAAGGCAGAACAGAACTAGAGATAAGAAAAGTATAGAATGAGTGCACAACTTTCATATGTGTTCTTGTTTAGTATTTAAAGTCAGTGATTCGCTGAATCAGAGATGACCAGTTTTTGTTGTAATCAAAGATTTTGATAATGCTATATTGTTGTCAATATCACAGCAATTTTCATAGTTTTTGTTTAACTCAAAACTTTTTTTTTTTTTTTTTTTTTTTTTACTAATATCATTTTCACATTTCAAAATGTCTCACTGATGTATACATAGTAATTTATACATCTAACCCCCTGAGTTTTAACTGGGATACATACAATATAGGTTTTTTTCTACTTCAGTATTGGGTATTTGTGCCTATTAATTACCTTTGGTTTTTTAATCTTGTGCAAAACATGCATAACGTGTAACAATGATTGTTAAATTTTATGTATTTTTATTCTATCTCTTAAGTAATTGCAGTAATCATAATGTGTAACCTGTATTTATGAACATTTAAAGTTATCTGGGATAACATTATTCTGTATTACAGTATAGTAACACTTCATATTCTGTCACATGAATGTGTCTGTAACATTTTTCAGTACCGCCCAGACAACCATCATCAGCCAAGCCAGCAAAAATCAAGGTCTGCCTCAAGTCCAACCATCTCACGACCATTTGAAAGTGCCAGCGATTTTACTGCTTCCATTCCACAGCAGAATCATCGTTCAACATCCATTGGATCTTCAGTCATCACTGAAAACCACCAGAGTAGCCTGCCCTTATCATCAGCCTCCTTGACTGAAGCTGAGGCTCTTTTGGCCATGAGAAAGTAAGAGCATAGTTCCTGGTATCATCACATAAATCATTCACAGCTGGAATGTTCACAGATTTCTTGTGAAGTGTTTCATGTTTGAGGCCCTGTCTGTGAAGTATCAGATGGCAGTAGTCTTCTTGCTATCAAGTGGTTGTCAGTTGTAGATTGTGTGTGCGGGTTCTTTAGTATGTAGACTGCATGATGTGTTTTTTTGGTGTAAATATAAATTATAATTTATATATTATGTGTATTATTTGTTTATTGAAACTGTTATTGTCTTTTTGTTTGTAGACTGAGTGCATCATTTCTGTATGCCTTTAAGTTTTTAAATTGAAGATATTTATAGAGCATGAAAATTAGATTGGTAAACTGTCTGTATCAGTTGTTTATTATGTCTTTATGACTTGTAGACTGACCTTTTAAATAATGCAGACATAAACAGTATGTTGCACAATTTATAGTCTGGCATGTTGTGATATATCTAGTTAGGTCCATCACTACAGAGTTACACCAACTTGTCATGTGATTTGTGTGTTTCAGTGGCAAGGGTTACATTTTGGTACTTAATTACTGTGGAAATATTGCTGGTGAGACAGAGCAAAATATGTCAGGCAGTAAATTGTGCCATGTATTGTTTATGTACGCATTAGTTAAATTTGCTCTGGAAAACAAACATATTGTTTTGAATGACTTTTTTTGTGTTGAGTATGAAATGTGATGTATAGTATTGTGAGTATAAGTAGATTACATGACGGACTAGTGATTATTCTTAAATTATTTCTGACTCTGGGAGGGAAGAAGTATTGTCTCTAAAATGAACATAGAAAAATGTTTTGTAAGAATTAAGATGTATCCTTGAGCTGCTTTAAATGTGTTGAGGACTGAACAATATTACATTGAACATTATATCCGTTCTTATCACAAATTCGGACCCTGCCCACTTACACACTACGAATCTTTCATTCATACTTGATCAGCCGAGTCGACTTCTCTAAAGTTCACAGGGGTGTTGCTGTGGCTGTGTCCGATTGGTGTCAATTTATGACACAGGCTTATGACCTCAGGACATCGACCCCTCATTCTCCCGCGATGCGACCTCTACACTACAGCAACTTAGGGATTTTAATGACCTCATAAAATCTGCAAACTAGTGCATTCTAAGTGTCGTGGTTTCACACCTGACATTTAGCAGTGGCAATAAACTCATTTCCTAAGCAAAATGCTAGACGGCTCACATGTAACCACCAACAGGCACTAATACTGTATACTAACTTGCCCAGAAAAGCCACTGTGTACCTTCCCCACTCCAATATATACACTAGGGAGACAACTCACACCCCTTCTACTTAAACTTGACCGTCTGACAGGTTAAAGTGGAGACTCACCGTCCAGTCACAGTGTCCCGTTACCTCTGTCAGTCATAAGTCTGTATAAGGGTGGAGCTAGGGCCTGGAAATCAGTTGAACCATTATATCGTCTGTAACACTGAAACTTCTGAGTGCTATGTCTTGGAAGTAAAAATATTGCCAGTTTCTTAAAACAGCAAATAAGCAATTGGCAAGCATCACACTGTGCTTTATATTTGAAGCAGTTAGTTAGTCGAGGTTTCAAAATCACTGCAATCAAGTTGCCCCATACTTGCCAGAGCGAATCAAATGTCTCCCACTGTGGCATATGAAAAACTGGCGAATAAACAACTAGGTCTAGAACAATCCAGAAATATGTGCACGCAGTAAATGCATATTTCAGTTGCTCGAGGCGCCACAGCCAACAATCGCCACCAGTAATGCAGTTTGTCATTGATGAAAGTAGTTGGGCACGATAAGTTGGCTTCTATACACACGTAGAATTCTTACTAAAGGTATTTCACTAGCTCATACGTAAACCGGCCACCGGCCATATTGAACAAAATGACACAACAGCTGCACAAATGAAAGGCATTCTGTAGGAAAAGCACAGCTCGCAGGGCTGCAACCAAGCACTAAACTCAGTAGCCCAGGCAGCGAAACCATAGACTACCGTCCTTATGTGGAAACTGCATTAGCAAAGCGCTGTTGGAAGCAAAAATAACTTTAAAGCTTAACATTCTGCCAAGCCTTTTCTCTGTTTTGGCAGGAAGCAGTGGTTTTTATCATGTATTATTATTAATTTATTCTCATGAACATTCTCTCCATTGTCCTGTTAGGCTTCTTTGAGAACTAGGGGCCGTTACTGACATTAGCTTCTTTCATGGCGTATATGTCATAAAACAGTATTGCCTGATTAATGAAGGTTTTGGTAGTAGTTGCTTTTCTGTGATTTGTAGATGTCACAGAAAAAACACCACTGCTAAAACACCCAAGCATCACCATGGCACTAAAACGACAACTGATAAATTGCATGTTTATACCAACCCTCTGCTACCAATGCCAAACCTGGTCCCTAACAAGAGCACAGGAGAAAAAGATCACGACGTGCGAAATGAGATGCTTACGTAAGGCTGCCAATGTCACAAGGAGAGACAGAGTTCGAAACGAGAACATTAGATCAATTGTAGGAACCACACCATGCCTGCAATACATAAAGAAGCAACAAATAGAGTGGTTTGGCCACTTGATGCGAATGCAAACCGACCAACTGCCTCTACGAGCATACAACGAACAGCACTACTGCCCTAGAGCAAGAGGCAGACCGAGAGTACGATGGATAGACAATATATCAGAGATCCTGAGGCAACATGGACTAACAACAACACGTGCAACACACCTGGCCCAGGATAGAAAACTGCGACTCCCCACTACGCTGTGAGGCAATTGTGAACAAGACAAGACAAGACAAGACAAGAAAAGACAGAAAAAATGGGGTGGGGGGGGGGGGTGGGGGTGGTTTGTGTAAATTGTATTAATGAATTGCCTATTTACTTGTATAGTGATGTTTCATGTGGTAGTTTGTTTTATGGTATTGGATGTTAATTTAATATCATTCTCTACTTAATTGCCTATATATAGTTAAGAACCGACCCCAGTACGGGACACAATTTTTTGTTATTTTAAGCCCCACTCTGGCTGCTGCCGGGGGGTCCTTATATAACCCAGCCTATGGGTTAAAAGGGAATTCTGGGACTTGTGCCTGGGTGGTCCTCATCCATTTGGTGGCACTTTGTGTCACCGGGTGGTGGTCGAGCATGGTACAGTCTTCATGGAGTTGAACAACATACATACTTAATTGCCTTTATGATAATATAATGATGGTTCCTACACCGACTTGATTTCTTAATATTTAAATGTTGTAGTAGAGAAAAACAGTGTTAGTATAATTTTCTGCTTAATTTCTTTATTGTCTCTATATTAATTGTTCCTGGGGTAGCGTGTTTTATATTTACATGCTATAAAAATAGATTTAATACTATACTACTGTTCAAAAGGAGAAAGAAAAGAAATGCAAAGCCACTGAAAGGAACATAATTTTGTCATAATTTTTTTCTTCAAAATCTTTGTAATTTGATGAAAGAAATTGTTCAAATTACACACAAGAATTAATATCTTAGGGTTCAATCAATCAGTTAACACTTCTTTTGCCTCTGAGTTGCAATAGTGTTTTGCCTTACGGGCTTTCCCAACAACTAATAAAAATAAGCCATCGAATAACTATATATTTTGTTTAACACTTTGATTTCGAAAGAATTTTCTCTTCAATAGTATAGTGGCAGTTCCTGTAGTGAGTTAATTTCTGTGATATTTAGTTGTAAAACTAGGAAAAACATATCTTGTAAATTTTTCTTATTATTTCCTGACTGTTTTTATCATGATAGTTCCCAAGATAGTTTGTTAACTTATATTTGGATGTCACTGTGTGTGTGACAATAGACTATTTTCTCCCTGACTGTATAGTTTTGTGTAAAATGATGATTTCTGTGGCAGGAGCCATTTGTCTCTTCAGTGATGGCTTCTACAACAAGCTGATTTCTCTGATATTTAGATATTATAGTACGGGAAAACAAATTTTAGAATGTCATCTACTAATTTGTCTACTTGTGTCTTGGTTTAGTAGCTCCTTTGGCAGGCTAATTTCTGCAATTTTTAAATATCACATTGCGGCGAAGCAGATTTTAAATAACTTTTTGTCAAATTTCCTCATTGTCTGTATAGTCATTGCTCCTCTGACAGTCTTAGTTCTGTGATATTACAGTGTGTGAACATAAATGCTGTATTATATTCCATATACATTTTAAAATCCTTTAATACTATATGTAAATTGTATAATGTTGTGGTAGCAGTCATCATTGTCTTTCATTGCTCTTCTATGGAGAAGTGTAGCAGTGCTGTAGTGTGAACATTCCTTAATGTTACCAGTTGTTTTATCACATTTCCTACCTACCCTATACATATTTAAGATTATTGTTAACATTATATGTTATTTATGTATTTACTTAATATATTAAAATATATTTACTTAAAAGATTGAATATGTTTAAATAAATTTTTCACACATGCACATAAATATTCCAAAATATATTATTTATTTATATATTATTTATGAAATTGTTACATTGATGCCTTATTTTATGTGAAATTGTTTATTAAAATTATTGATTGAGATGAATTTGTAGTTATTCCTAATCACATTGTATTTAAACTATTATTGCTTCTTAATCCTTTTTGCATGCCATATTCTCTCTTCTTCGCCTTCTCTTGCTCACTGTCTGGTTTTGTTTGTTTATGTCTTTTCAAGTTTTCATACTGTTATACTGCTTATTCTACTTTCATGGAGCAGTTGTAATGTACGTACATGGGCCAGAACCAATTAATAACAAAAATATAACTCTACCATGGGTTAAAGGACTAAAAAGTAAAATCACAGACCTATCGTTTGAAAAAGAAGGAACTTCATTCAGATAGCCAAAGAATTACACACAAAATGCAAGCTTCCACTTCCTGATCCAAATCTAAAGTTGCCCACTTATCCCAAATGCCCGTCATAGAACTCCAAGTACTTCTCACAAATCAGACACCATAGACAGCATCCTGGCCAAAGGA